ACAAGCATAACAAGAAGACCAAGATAAATATCAGCTTTCCACTTCGACAAAGGCAGGAACATACAAGTAAACACTCAAGCAAATATATTAAGAACTACCTGGATCGTTGTCAAGGCGAACAAGATCGAGAATCTCCTCAGTAGGAGGAGAGAAGATTTTGTGGGAAAGCAAACCACAGAAGTGGAGAAGATTTTCATCGCGAAGAAGTTTTTCAGACTCAACGAACTTGGCATTCCAAGTGTGAATCCGTTGGTCGAAAAGGTGGTTCGAAGGAGGGGCAGAAGCTGCCTCTCGTGAAACTTCCTTGACCCAGGGAATAGAAGGCCATGGAAAAGGGGCGCTGGGTCGAACAAAAATAAACTTATCACTCCACTTGGGGAGGTTCGAAGGGATGTCGTTAATGAAATGGGCACCATTACGGCTTTTCAAGTAAAGGCCCCGACCTTGTTTCGAGGGGCCAGAGCAATAATTAAAGAAATCTAGGTCGAATCGACCCAAGCGAATATGGCAGAGGATAATGAAAACGTTCATGAAGCGGATAGCATTGGGAGGAAGTTGGTGTAGAGGAAGCGAGAACCATTCGCAAATGCGAAGTAGTTCGAGACTCAGAGGAAAACGAAGACCAAGTTTGAACTGAATCTCGAAAAAAGTGTAATAATCCTGGGGAGGATGGTCGAATTTATCGGAGGGAGAAGGAGAAAGGAAGGTCCAGCTAAGAGGCTGGCCGGTTTTTTCAGGGTTGAACCAGGGATGAGAAAGGGAGATAGAAGATGAGCGCTTGGAAAGTTTTTTGGTCGAAGATTGCTTAGGTGGGGAACTTGAAGGGGGAGGAGCAGTAGGCTGTGGAGAAACAACCTCGTCCTCCTCTGGCTCGTCCAACGCACCGAGAGGAGGTCGACGGCTGCGGAGGGGAATGTTATCCATGGTATCGCCATAATTTGAAGAGGCGACGCGGGCTGTGAAAACACGGGTAGGAACTGTGTCGCTGGGGCGAAAGATAGAGAGGGGAACAGCTTCGAGCGCAGAAGGCAGTATCTCAACTGAATCAAAGGAGGTCTTCGAGTCTGAAGAGAAAATCAAAACAAAGACAAAAAGAGCAATATCAAAAAGAGGCCGACGGAAAATAGAAAGGGGGGAAAAAGAAAATTAGGGTTTTTAGAGAAGGGCAATCAAAAAGCCAGAAGAAGAATTCGAGAGGTATGGGGGCGGAAATTCCAGAAATTTTCAGAGGAGAAACAAAATCCACAACATCTAATAATCAAGCGAGAGTATTCAAAGCACAAATTCAACACAAGGCACGCCAATTCAAAATAACTCAGCAAACAGATCGAACCACAAAAAACACAAATTCAAGGGTGGAAAGACTTACTCATAACTGGGGTCAACAATCGAGAGAAATTCGAAAGAGCGCAGGAGAAATCACCGAGGAAGCAAGAATTTTGCAGAGGATATCTGGGTACAGAGGAAAGCAAAATTAGCAAGAGTGAGAAAAGGTTGGAAAATATGCTAAGTGTGGAATTTATACCTTAGAAGATTAAAGGGTTGAAGAATAAAGACCGTTGGATTACAATTAGATCCTACGGTGAGAGGTATTAATTCTCGCAGGGCTCAAAACAGGCGCGTTAGACGAGGAGGTGTAATAATTAAAGCACCTGACACCTACAGCAGACGTCTGACACATGCGACAAACGCGACGCGTGGCAAAAAAGTAGGACCGACAGAAAGGACTTGGAATAGACGACTTTATTGCTGGCAATTAATGGGAAATTATTTGAAAATGTGAGCGGGAAAACTATGGGATGGTCGATATTGGGTGACGAGCCATCAAGGAGGTCGATAAATGCCAATTCACTCTTAGATCGAGTCATTCAGACTCGACCAGAGTGGGGGGGACTAGATGATATGGGATATTATATACTCAAGGATAAACCGGCCTACTTGGCCGGTCGGGGAAACTGAACAGAGGAGAAACAAACCGAAAGGGGCGGGAAGGCCAAATATTCAGATAATCGACCAGATGCATCGACCAGACACATGATCGAGCAAGCCACTCGACCTCAGCAGGTCGATCGCATCGAGGAACCCATAATCGACCTTGTTGTGAGCGCGTGTACCGTAGGCGCGCGTAAGAGCCTCTAACCGAAATCTTCAGAGAATATTCAGCCCATGTGTTGGAACAACACGTGTCGATAACGTATTGGATGATGGTGGAAACCACCTCTGACAACCCCCAACGCCCTGCGCCACCTCTGACATGTGCGCGGCGTGTCAGAGTACGGACGGGCAGCTTGGGCAGCCAACTCACCTTATCCGGGCAGCTATTAGGGCAGGTATCTCACCCCTATATAAAGGGGACGAGCCTTTATCCCTGAACACATTCTATTCATTCTCTCAATTCCAGTATACTCATACACATACTGACTTAAGCATCGGAGGCTCTTCACCGGATCCAACCCTCGGTGTGAGAGTTATTTGCAGGTTTCCGGCGTTCTACCGGCGAGGACAAGAACCGATCTACTCCAAACCGGACCCGGACGCTTACACTTGCATTACAATAAAAGCAAAATAACGTTTGACCACACACTCGTCTTCAATCTCGTCATGCCCGACACGTGCTTAACCTGCATCAGTGAAGAGCAGGAGGGGATGAGCACAATTATAAACGAGGTGCTCACCACTATGCATAATATATTGGTAAGGAACCTATACTAGAGTCATATGCAAGTACATGGCAAAAAGACATATCAAACTATTCTCCTACTCATCACTATACTCATGTGCACACCTATCATAAGCCGCCAGGGGTAAGCCCAAACTCGTCAGCGGGAGTACAGTCGTGCCGGAGTGCAAAAACAACGGTCACGGCCCATCAACTAGGCTAAAATGAGTCAACCCACCACAAGGTTGGAGATCGCCCACCACTAGGCACCGTCTCATGACTCACACATACATTCATAGACATAAAGTATAAAAATCTTACCTCAATTATGACATAGCAAATTTTAGATTAAAACCCACCTGGAAATCGGGGTAGAGTACCACACAAAAGCAAGTTCATAGGTCGAGGGCTCGACTCCTCAAACACCTACATTTAAGCGAGATAATATATAAATAATCTATCTCACTGCTCGAATTTAACACAAAACCCATACTTAATAAAAATTAAGGCTTAAGGGTCATAATCGGATTTTTCGTGGACTTGGAACTCTCTATTTTTTTGAAAAATATGACTCGGAGAAGTAAATCAGGGTCTCGGAACTTAAAATAATTTTTTTCTAAAATTTTTTTTATTTTAAAAATAATTTTCAAAATTGAAATCGGTACGAAAAACGGCTCCTAGAACTCAAAATAGGCTAAAAACAGCAATTGGGCCGAACTGCTAATATGTTGGCCCAAAAATTTCCAAACAGTTGGGCCTCATGTGCATGATGGGCCGAATATATAAGCCAATTTGGGCTGGAACAAAGCCTGTTACCAGGCTTCAATTTCGCGGGCCGAACGCTGGGCTTGGACCGGGTTTCGCGGGCCTGGAGCTGCTGACTCCAAACGGGCTGCGCGCGGGCTGAAATCGGGCCGAAAGCCCGCGCGCCTGAGGCTGCTTACAATAAATAAAAAAAATTGGTTCCAATGCAAGAGCTGGGGTTAGAACTCTCGACATCGCGCACG